CTGTTTATTCAATAAGCTCATATATTTTTAGGCTCTGCAACAGATCACACAGAGCAGATAATCAATGATGTACATCAAGCACAGATCACTCACGTGTCCAGCAAAACAAATACTCACTGTTAGTCTCGGTAAGAGCCCGTAATGTTCGCAGCATTAAAAGGACAGTTCATTGTGAAATCGAATTAACACGTTTGTCCCTCTGGCCTGCAGTGTTTTATCTGTGTGGAGTTTTCCTCCTACTAAACTGTAGCCATCAAACAAACCTCTGCAGAGGAAAGCAGAGATATGAGGCTTTAACTCACCCAAAATCAGGCAGCTCACACCAAAAAAAAATTAAGCTGGAAGAATGACGAATGATGAATTGTCCATTTAACAATTTAAGAGATCTGTAATTAGATTTTAATTGTGTGTTTTGCTGTTATGGAGCAATGGGCAAATTGTAATTACACTGAGAGCTTCACCAGGGACTTGATCTTTAATCACATCAGGCTTCACTGTATTTGCGGAGTTCAGCAGTTTTCTTGAGTCTTGTGTGTTAATCCCTTTGCTTTGTAATCACAATCATTGGGAAGCACAGCAGGTAGTGGCCTCAGGCACAAACAGTCACTCCTGCTAACTCACGTCTAATCCATATTTCAACACTGCATTGTCCAAGTCCCTCCTCCGCCCTCCCCTCCATTCTCCATACATTATCAAGAAATACTGCGCTGTGAAGAGTCCAGGGCAAGCCTCCGCAGCAGCAGCAGTGCTGGGCCCAGGTGTGCTTGTGTCCACAAATGTACACAGTCAGCAGCTGTATGAGTATTTTGGTTTTTCCAGCTGCTACACGTTTCCTGACCTGCATTGCTAAATGCTAAAAGCAGCAGCAGAGCGAATCCAGCCAGCAGCCTTTGAAAGCGGGCTGGGCTCTGATAGATATGACTGCTGTATCAGCACACGTTCACTGTTCCCAAGCTGTACTGAGCCGTTAACAAAACAGTGGAAAAACACCGCATGCTGGTACAATGCAGCACTCTGAAGAGCAGACGTGGCTTTCACAGATGACTTTTTTTAATGAACGCAGAAAAAATGCATCTCTTCATCAGCTTTAGTCTGAATTAATAAGTGATCAGGTGTGGGTGGATTCTGAAGTGCATTTGCTGTGCACTGATATAATATTGCCGTTTTTGTTTTATATTTTTGGACTCGGGTGACTTATAGGGGAATTAATAGTTTCTTTAGTGTGTAAATCAGGTAAGGATTTCAGTGAGAGAGAACCTTGCACAAATCATTGCTCCCCCCCTCCGTGCTACCAAAGAAGTAATCGAAGTGAAAGTGGTTTCATAATGTTCAAATTTCCAAAGCCACTTACTGCTTTTAAACCCAAATTACTATATACCGTCATCGCTCCTCACTAAAACAGAACATTTAAATATACTACTCCTGAGTCTGCGCTGCGCACACTCAATCATAAGTCTTAAGTACCCCAGGGATGTTGCTGCATGACAAATGGCTCTTCTCTTTCGGTTGTCTGCTGCTGCCAGGAAGAGTGCAGTGATGATGGAGCGCCAGAGTGGCACAAAAAAAGGGCCGCATATATGCAGACTGGTCCCAGAAGCTGAATCTGGCTGTTTACTGAAAGTTTTGATCACTCTTGAGGTGCATGATGTTTGAGTGTTTTCTTACATTTTTAATCTTACTGCATTTCAGTGCAAACCTGGTCTTTCAGTGGGCTTTTTTTGAACCCTCCACTTCCATTTGAATCATTCCATACTGGGTTTCCTAATGTGGGATATTCACCCAGTTAAGGGTCCACTTCTGGTTCAGATCTAACCTTCAGAAAGATGATAGGCACTCTTTGATATGATGCAGAACTGAATCTGAGTCACGCAGCCTTAAAGCTGCTTCACAGTTGGTATGAGGTTCTTTCCCTCAGCATCTTTCTTTGGTCGGCACCAAATTCCAGTTAAAAGACTTGTAAACGAAAGAAACAAGGAATCTACTTAAACTAACTATGGTGAGTGACATCAGTACTGCATGGGTGAAGAAATGGTGCACGCAGTGTTGTAAATGCAAAAAAAAACCCCAAACCATTGAGGGACCAAAACCCAAAAAAGTGTGTCAGGGAGGAGAGCCACCCAGCGACTGAGCACTGAGCTCTTGCTAGTGTCACTGATTGGAAACGAGCAACAGCACCTCCTCAGTGCCCACAGGTCAGACTCAACAGGCTGAAAAGCAAAGAGGGTGGAGTGAGTGGCCACAAAAAGCCCTCACCTGTGTCTGCATGTTCAGTGGAACACAGTGGATTTGCTCTAGTGTTTACGCTGGACTGCTGCTCTTCTTGCTTCACACTGGTGTTTGTGGGGTTCACAGGGACTTCTGTTGTACTGAATCAGTCACTAAGACAGGTTCTTACGTGAAAACTGGCAACAAAATTTCTAGCTGATCTGTGTTATTTAACATGTATGTGTCATAAACGCACATTTTAGAACATTTGTATATATACCATCCTTTCTGAAATATTTGGACAGGCCAAGATTTGATTTTGTGAAGCAGTGAGTGCAGATAAGTATGGTGCATATACTCCTTCAAACATGCAGATCAGCAGCCATCCTTATCTGCATCTACTGCTTAACAAGATCAAATGTTGGCCTGTCCAGATATTTTAAAAAGCCGCAGTTTACTCGGGATTTGCTCAGTGTCTCCTTTACAGCCTGTGCAGGATGGCTGCAGGGCGCTGGAGGAGGCGCTGTCCTTGGTGCTGCAATTATGCGCCTCTGACCTTCTATATGAAGGAAGCATCTACAGCTTACGGTATGCCGACATTATATAACATCCTACGTGTGAGTCAAATGGTTTGACTTCGTGTTATTCAGACTGAGCAGCCAGCTGTGTTTAAATACTGCCAGAAATAACACAAAGAACATTCAAATTACGTGTAAACTGGCAACAAAATGCACTTGGGCATAAACATGACGCTCGAAATTAATTTCTGAAATCTATAATTAGCGTGTTTGTTTGGAGATAATAATACACCACATCTCCATAAACTACACCTATCTTCAAAAAAATAAAAAGGCAAGCGACGCTGACCACATATGAAACGTTGGGGCAAAAACAGATCAGCTCAGAAGAGACGTGGTGGTCACAAGCTGACTAATAACGTCTAATCAATTCCCGCGTGTGGCTGTTTAACCAACAGTTACCAGACTGGAGCGCTGACTTAATAAATATTTAAGGTGGACGGAGGGGAGCCGCAGCTGATTTGCTGATGTCAGGGAGCCAGTGCAGCATTTCATGGTGCAGGGTGGAAACGCGCGCTGCCATCTGCCTCGATCCGTGCTCTCTGCAACCCTCACACATGAAAGCCCGACAGGAAAGATGCCGCCAGCTCTCAACATTTGGGCATTGTTCCTCGTGTCGCTGTGCTGCCTGTGTCAGCCGGGTCATTTAAAAAAGCCTTTCCGATGCCCTTCAACATGCAGCTGCTCCAAGGAGTCCATCATCTGCGTCGGGTCCTCCTATATCCCAAGAATGACCCCCAACGAAATCACTTCTTTGTGAGTAGATGGCCTGCACTGTATAGATATATGTTTTTAAATGGAACAGTACGTTTTCCGCAGTGCATACATGCAATATATGCTCGAGCCACAGCCTCAAGTACGATTCTACAGCTGTGCGCATTTTATAACACCCTATAAAATAAGAGCTGATCGCAAAAAGCAATGCAGTGTTTTTCTCCCTGTTTCCTCGCCGATCACTTTTCAGCATTTTACTTTCTCCTGCTTGCTCCTTGTTTTTAGGAGTATCGTGAATGGGACTTTCAGCGAGGTCAAAGAGGCGATGTTTTCCCACATACCATCTCTCCAGCTATTGTAAGGATACTTTGCCAGCCTTTGATACTTCTAAAATGATTTGATTGGTTGACATTTTTAAGTAAAGGTTCTTATCGGGCAGATTTCAAATTAGTTACTTTTAGTACATAAAGCATCAGTTTCAAATGTTGTGCATTAAAATGGCAGATGCATCATTATGTGAGGCCAATAATGGAGTCACGACGGTGAGGCATTTATGCTTCTGTAGCACATGGGGTATTACTTTAGTGGAGATAAAGTAATGATTTATAAAGTGTGTTTGGTGCATGGTTAAGCTTTTTAGTAGCCGGGGCTTTTCAAATGGTGCACACCTGGAAATAAATAATGGAAACCCAAATCTGAGCTTTTAGTGCTGCCCAGTACCTACAGTGTGCTCAACAGAGACCATCAGTCTGCTTTGTTACAACACAAGTGACAGCTGTGATGTCAGCCTAAACAAAGGCGTGGCACTAGCCAAAGTCATCATACACAATAATTCTCAGCTGAATACTTTATTTGGTAAGATGTGGGGTG